AATAATATGTTAGTGCACCTCTTCGGTAAATAATAATATGTTAGTGCACCTCTTCGGTGAATAATAATATGTTAGTGCACCTCTTCGGTAAATAATAATATGTTAGTGCACCTCTTCGGTGAATAATAATATGTTAGTGCACCTCTTCGGTAAATAATAATATGTTAGTGCTCCTCTTCGGTGAATAATAATATGTTAATGCACCTCTTCGGTAAATAGGTTAGAACCACTTCGACAAACGGGCTGGCATTACTTCAACAAATGGGTGCACCCACTTCGGCAAACGGGTCAGGAAAGAGAGCTAAGAGTCTGAGTTCGGATAATGGTTTTGTTTTCTGATTACCCGGATATTTATCCGGAATTTGTCCACCTCTACCAAAAACGCCGTTTCTATTCGGAATAGACCAATGAAAATGTTTTGTGCCTCTAGACCAAAGTAAAAAAATCTGAGGGGTTACAGGGGTCCTTGCACCCTGTTTTAACCCATAATTTGGTATTTTGCGTTAGTGGCTATAATATGTGTGATCTGCAGAAAATAATACGCAGTTTGACAACCCCCCCCCCCCAAATCAGTGCATCTGTGTGAGGGAGTACGTCTCCGAATAGTTCCTGAGTGCTCGCCGAGACGTCTAAGTACAGTATCTGCCACCAGAAACCCTCTCTAGTGACCGCAGGGCCGTGACAAATGAGCGCAGTCGACGAGTTATCGTCTGGTATAATCCTGGGCCAGACCGACGACTATACCGAGCCTGGCACGTTTGGCGGGCTGTCTTGTTGTTTGTATTCCCGTGTGTTTGTCGAGAAGTCGTGGTGAGGTTTCCCTGGGAACTGGACACGTTGTCATCACTTTTGGTGACAGATTTGTGCGGCATCTGTGGCTGGCAGCCGGGGCAGGCAGGCAGGGTCAATTGCTGGGTTATCGTCTGCGTTGTCGTTGTCGTTGTCGTTGTTGTTGTTGTTGTTGTTGTTGTTGTTGTTGTTGTTGTTGTTGTTGTTGTTGTTGTTGTTGTTATTGTCTACATCGTTGTTGCTGCTGTTGTTGCTGTTTTTCTGTTGTTGTTGTCGTTGTCGTTTTCATTGTCGTTGTCTATGTCGTAATAACTGTAGTTGTTGTCGTTGTTGCTGTCGTTGTCGTTGTCGATATCACTCTTGTTGACATTGTTGTCGATACCAACCTTATCATCATACACCATTAGCACTGGCACTGATTTTGAATTGTTACACAGAAATCAAATGGTCTTGAAAACTGTGCCTATTTAACATACAACATAACTTTCGAGTGCTTCCCATCCCCCTTTTCTCTCCTCTCTTTCTCTCTCTCTCTCTCTCTCTCTCTCTCTCTCTCTCTTACTCTCTCTCTCTCTCTCTCAGTCTCTGTCTCTCTCTCTTCGTCTCTCGTTCTTTCTGTCTCCTCCTCTCTTACTCTCAACATAGTACATATTGTATCTCTTTGGCTCTCTTCCTCTCATCATTCCATGGGCCTACTTTTTGAACTGCTTCCGGAACGCACAGTGTTTTTTTTAAAGACACATAGGTACCAGTAACAAAGACAAAACAAAAATCGTATCCGTTTATTAATTCGTTTATACCTACACATGACATACAGCAAAGCAGAAATAGCTCTAATGAACAGATTTGAATTATAACAAGACAAACTGGGCCCCCTTTCGATGAAAGGAATGATCGGCGCATTAACATAAACTGAAAGTCATTGGCCTACTATATTTACACTCTACTGGAATGGAGCCATAAATCTTGAGAGATACAAAAAAACTACAAGATGTATATCGTAGACGGTGCGAACACTTTCATGGACGCTGTTCTATGCCTTAAATAAAAATCTTCGCTCCAAATCGTACGCAACATGGATGCCCGAATAAAAGGCAAAACGCCATTCTCGCTATAGCCGTTCATGTTGCTCCAAACTGAGTCAAATGGTGTGCTCCACAGTGAAACAGAATTACGTTGAAGAGAACTGTCTAGGATTTTGTGCTAAAAGTCTATATTATTCTCCAATGCAAACAGTTGTTTTGCCAACGTTTCATGCTCTTGAGTGCTTCTGCCTGTGTTGCGTTGCGAAATACTGATCCCAGAAATAATATTTCTGATCATGTGAAAAACGTACGACATAACACAAAAACTATCCCAATTCTGAGAAATCATAGAGTTAACTATTTCTAGACCGATAGATTCCAGACATGGTCAACTGCAGATTGAGATGCGCTCCAAGCCCAGTGACCCTCATGTGGATTGAAGAGAAGATTTAGAAAAAAAGAGAAATCAAACAAGGAAAATAAGAATAAAATGTTAGCAATGTCTCTTACATTTATTCCCTTGGGAAAATCCAAACTCATTTTCGCGGCCAGCCTCCTTGCCTTTCTATTCTGATCTATATATGTGTCCGCCCACACCAGGCTCGCACTATCATCCTATACTTGCTGTTGTGTAGATAGTACACCAGGCAGTTGACCGACACGTTCAGATACAGGGACAAGTTACCCACGATACCGACAACGGCGAACAGGTTGCTGTACCTCCGGCCCAGGTCAAACTCTGGCTCCACTAGCCGGGACAGAGCGATGAGCGCTAACGGCAGGTTGCAACTTACAAAGATGACAGACAAGAGGGCGACCATTTTGACAACTTGTTGTTCTTTGTTCGACCTTTTGGCTTTGCTTTGAGATGTGATCGCCGTGTTTCCAAAGTTCTGTTTCCTTGTCTTATTTGAGTCTTTATTATTTGTGGACTCGAGTGTGTCGTGTGGTTTAGTAGGGCTCTTGGTGTGGTTTCTGGAACTCTCAGAACCTTTGCTCGGATCAGACTCCATGTTTGGTTTGTTGGATGTCTCATGGTTTACAGAGTTATGTGTGTTAGAATACGGGATATGTGCCGAACGTTCAGCAGCAGTTGAAGTTGTTCGCGTAGCACGATCTTCATCCGACAAACTGACTGCCTGCTGAGGGGCATCAAGTGACACCAATGCTTCTATAGGGGCAGACTTTGATGTGTTCTTGGTTCCTTGACCAATCGCTTGCGAGCGGAACTTGGAGGCACGCACGAGAGAGGAGGAGAGAAGGAAAAGACAGATGATGACGACAACGAGCGTGACATTGGGGACGACGACCCTACTCACGGCGTCGTTGACAGCCTTGGCCTCCGACCAGCCCTCCCGGTACTCTACGATCACGGAAAAGCTGCTGCTGTTGGCGCCCTGCTGCCTTGTTATACTTCCCAACACGTACAGAGGAAGGTAAGGAATCAGCGTGCAGATCCATATGGCAAGCAACGACCAAGCAGTCCTCTTGGCTGTGAACGTAGACTTGAATCTCAGCGGCCGAACAACGCAGAAACAACGTACTACAGCAATATACGTGGTCGTGATCATGGAGATGTCGTACATCGCTTTTCCGTAGTTTGGGAAATATGACGTGATGTATATTTTAAAACAGCTTCCTTGAAAAAACCGACACAAGAACGAGAGTAATAAGACTAGAGAGCCTGGGACAGAGAAAAGCAACATCGAAAAATCCGAGAGAGATTGGCCAAAGAAAGACACGGCCATGCTGTCTCTCAGTCCGATTTTCCAGAAAACGACAAGATTCAGAGAGTTGCATAGGCATCCTGCAATATTGAAAACGAACCGAAGAATTCTGAATGCGTCTAGGAACTGAAAAAATATTGCATTGCTGACAACTTTTGAGGAGCAGGCGTTTTTAGTTAGATAGAGGAAGGTATCATTGACGTTTGGGGGAATCTCGCACGACATTGAGCGTTTTTTGTTCGAGGCTAACTGGTGAAAAAAGTTGGTAAAACAGCGTAGAACGTTGAGTGTTCTGTCTTTATGAAAGCAGAGAAAGACTTCGAATCACCCTTTCATAAAGAGCAGAAATATCAATAAAATTATGCTTCGTTTCTGATCAGTGAAGAGCAAAACGAATGTTAAAAAGTAACGTCATATTACTATTTATACAGATATTTTCGTTTGGTTAACAACGCATTGCCTCAGTTATGTGAAAATGGAAGACAAGTGGTTGTTCAGTGTAGTTGCGATGACTGAAATTGAGACATCAGCAAATTATCACCAGAAACATATTCACATTCGCGCCAAATTAGTCGGCATCTATAAAATGAGACCCAGAACTGGAAAAGAAATCGTAAAAATTATGCAATAATCTGGTGCAATAATGTGTTGTATAACATGAACAGTCAGTGCGAAATGTATTTCTCTTTGCAGTGGTATAATAGGCCACTTTCCACAGGATACAGGTTTATGTGAAACTGATTACTTTAATATAAGGTTTGAGCACTGGTTGTCACCAATTGATACATACTTTTCTTGTTATTGCGTAACTGGAATAGCAAATGATCTCAACACATCAATTCTATTCATTTATCTAGCAATTACGTCAACAATCAAGTACACCTTCCTCATTTGTCTCTTTCTCTGAAAGTGTTATGGGCCAGTTCAACCGTTAGCAGCAAAGAGATAATTGCATTCTATCATGATTATTATGTTATACGTCGGAGGTTAAAAAAAATTACCCACTTGTTCTGACATACCCATTCAATCACTTGCGTTTATGAAAATAATAAGCAGCATCGAATCAAGAATGGTTTTCTTTTATTACCTAAAGAGTATAGACCTTGCGGTGTATCGAATTATTTGCAGAATGTTTCAGTTAGTTCATGGTTTTACAGACGTTTATGCTTCTACCAAATCACAGCGTTTCCAATTCTGACGAATTAAGAGCCAAATAGCGTGAACTCAGATGAACTTTACTTTTATTCTGATTTCTTCAAATAATCAGCAGCCCTGGTATTTCTGGAAACTCAAGAAACATAGAGACATCCTGCTCAAATCTCTCTGGGAGTGTTCCTGTAGTCAGAAAACATTCAATTTTGGTGCGTTCACAGTGTCAGTTCTTTTATTTCTTCCATAGCTAGGAATGTGTTTATTTTTTTTTAAACTAGAGGGTAAAACGTTCTCTTGATTCGAGTATTTTAGTATCCAATGTCGGCTTGCTGTTCCTGTCACAGGTTCTCCCTCTGAGCCCCTGTAGCCGCACATTTCAGGGTGATCCGTGGTGTCCTTCGTGGCTACAGTAATGGCCTTGCAGGCAACGCACCATACTCCAGCAATCCCCTACTGTGTCCGCTAACATCTCTCATAACTCCTTGCATGCAACGCATAGATAAACAATGAATGAGACAGGTTTGGACATCTCTGCAACCAGATGTTATAGCAGAGAGAACATAGAGCCAGAGATCAGACGGAAACAGAGGAGGAGGAGGAAGGCCCAGGGAAAGATGGATACAGAGTGTCAGAGAAATATTAGTCGAGAAAGACATAACCATGCAATAGTCGACACAAGAAATAACTGAAAGACGTTTGTTTTTCTCCTTGATACCGCAAGGTAACACAGGCCAGAAAATAGTAAATAAAAGCAAGTAAGTGTGTGTGACTAGAAGGTCCACTTTTTTCTACTAATCATATAGTGTCAATTTCTGATAACATAAGCTTTTAGTGTTGAATATTGTGTATGGCACACGATCTTACTTACGCCCCGTTTCACGATGATGTTTCGCCGTCACACATAGAGACGTGCATTTCTAGTCAAGTCGCGTTTGGGGTGAATTTTTGTCGAGAGCATGTACGAGATCAGAGATCAGACGAAAAGCTCCCAGATGATCAAACTTGTCTCAATGCGGGCGTAAAATACTAATGTTAAAACAAAAGTAGTGAAAGAGAAAACATGTTCCTTGATAAGGAGAGGAGGCTCTCCTGGCCTAGAGGTTAAGGTGTTCGTCTCTCACTCAATCGCTCACGGGTTCGAATCCGGATTTTCTCCTTTCACATCATTTTTTGCCCTCTAACAATGTTTTGCCGTCTGCTTTCGTCTCCACTTTCTGCCCCCACCCCCACCCCTCACCTCCTTTGCCCCCTGCTCTGGACTCCTGACTCTGTCTGCAGCCTTTTTACTGCTACTCCTTGACTCCTTACTGCTGTCTTTCAGCCACACCCCTGACCTTAAGGTAGGTAAAATCTACACCTACCTTTCACGAATGAGGGCAAAAAATCTCTGAAGTCACGTGTACAAGTTGTGCACGATAATGATCCTTTGGTTGTTCAAAATCTATAAGAGTAGGCTTCGGCCGCCAATCTAAGAAAATTCAAAATTTCCTACCAACTGAAAATGTTTAATGTGTCCCGCACGCTCACAATTAATTGACCATATGCAGTTGCGAGTGCCGTAAAATACTT